TGCTTATGTCTGCTTTTTTCTTTCATTTGTTCCTTCTGCCATCCTTAGATTTATTCGTTTTTAATCTCAGTTTTTTAGTTAATTGACCTTTTTTTCATTTTTATTTAATAGCAAAACCTTTTAAGTGAGAAAGATAAATATCACACAATCTCACTCATTTGTGGAATATAATGAACAACATAAACTGATGAACAAAAACAGATCCAGAGACAGAGAAGCATCCATCAGATGCTCAAACCTCAGAGGGAAGGTAAGGGAGGATGGGGAGAAGGGGTAGAGATCAACCAAAGGACTTGTATGCATGCATATAAGCGTAACCAATGGACACAGACACTGGGGGGTTGAGGGCATGAGCGGTGGTAGGGGGCTAAGGGGGTGATAAGGACACATATGTAATACCTTAATCAGTAAAAAAAGAAAAAAAAACCCTCTTTAATAGGAGCAGACAAATGAAGGAACTGGAAGAATATTTGTTATCCCATTTACCAGTAATCTTCATAACAATCTTTTGTGATAGGTAGTATCAGCTCCATTACCGACTGGACTTAAAAGAGCTTAAGACAGGTTCCCCAAACTTTACACAGTTAGTAACTAAATGCCTCTCACAGATCTTACTAATACATCCCTTTGGGCATCCCCAAAACTATTTGGAAAATGAAAAAACAGGTTTCAATCAAAAACCCGTATCCTATCCCTTCTGCTATGATTCTTCCAAATGTAACCACTTACATAGAAAAAGATGAATTACTATTTCTATCCTGATGACCCAAATCCAGTCAGTAACAGCCAGAATGAAGCTTTGTGTTTTACATGTGCTACCCCATCAATTTTGTCTGGGTCAGGCATAAGATGCTATCCTTGCCTCCATGTAGGGACACAGGAAGTCAGAGTCAAGAAGAGGGGGAGGACACAAAGGACTACAGATTCACTTTTCCACCTGGGCTCTGCCTCCATCAGACATGGCTGGAGGGAGGTACTTCCGGGCGCCAGGCAGCTACCAGGAAAGCCTTGCGGCTAAGCACACAGGCTCTTGAGTTCAATGCCTGGCTCTGCCTCTCTAGTTGTGCAACCTTGGGCAAGTTCCTTATCTCCTCTGTGCCTCATTATTCCTATACCTCAAACAGGAATGAGATAAGCACTTACCTCACAGGGTTGTGGGGATGATCAAATGCTGTAAGAAGCTAGCCCCAGAGCCTGGAGTGGAGTTAATGTCCAGTGAATGGGGGCTGTTATCATTATTCTTCATCTTAACCTCCAGGACAGCCAGGCAGCAGGCTTGATAGAGCAAAGGAAGCCCACCTGAAGGCAAAATCAGTGCACTGAGAATGCTTTTCAGCCCCTTTTAGCTAAGCTGCAAATAGACTGCGAGGTGTCAGCCAGCCCTCCAGGCGATCCTCTAGGCTGACACTGTGGGGAGAATATTTATTTACCTTCTTGGTTGTCTTCATGAACTGTCTTCCTGGCATCTCAAACTGTGTCAAAATTTGAGCTCAGTCCTCAGCAATCCTTGCCCACTGCTGTGTACTGTTTGCCATGTTGAATACACCTAACTGTTTACAAGTATATTTCCCCATCATGTAATTGTGAGCCTCTGGAATACAGGGTTGTTCTATACTCTAGTATCTACACTGATTCTTATAATGTCTAGTTCACATAGATAATACTATGAAACATGAACTAATATTATTATTATTATTTGCCATTAATAGTGCCTAGCAGCAATATAGTAATTTAAGGAAATGTTCCCAATAAGTTCGAGTAAATAGATTAATGGTGCCACTAATTACACAAGACCAAGGTATGGACAAACTTTTTATTCAAGGTACAAACAGTAAACAATTTAGGCTTTGCAGGCCATAAGGTCTCTGTCCCAACTACTGAACTTTGCATGGGCAGCATGAAAACAGACACTAAGTGAGTGGACATTGTTCCGTTCCAGTAAAATTTTATTTTTGGACACTGAAATTTGCATTTCATATAATTTTCATGTATCATTGATTTTTCTTCCAACCACTTAAAAAATGTAAAACCCATTCTTAGTTCATGGGCCTCACAAAACCAAGTATTCGTTCTCTCCCTGGAAAGACTAATAGAACAATACACAGATAGCAGAGGGCCAAATCCTTGGCCTTTGCATTTGAGAAGTGTAAATGCTGGTAGAAGACAGAAGACTTGGAAGAGATTAGTCATGACTAAGTTTCCCAATAATCATGTCCCTTCCCTCCTCCACCAAACAGTAAATAAGGATGACTTGAGCAGCAAGAGCTAAAACTGGCCAGGGCCAGGGGTAAGAGGGAAGAATCAAGAGTTAAGACACTGGTGAGTCAGAAAAGGATCCCCTGCCCCTGGGCCATGTACCAGGCTGGGATTTGAAGGAAGTCAGGATTATAGAACTCTCTGAATAGGTTTGAGATTCTCCTTCTCTCCACAAAAGGATGCTCCCAGAAACTTAGAAGAAACCGTAAGAAAAGATGTACCGCAAACTGATGGAGATTCTCTATGCCCTCACCTAACTGGAAATCAACTGCTATAAAAAATAAAGTCCTATTTCTTGCACTTGAGATCATCCCCTTGCCATGGAAGCTCAATTAGGTCTAGCCCTCAATGTTCATTTCAGCCCCTGAAAATAGCATCTTGAGGTGTCATCTTGTGGTTGCAAGGCCCTAAGCAGTTACCTGGCTTGTCTAATGCTAGAAACAACTCTGCTAACAGTTCTGTAAGTTTTTTCTCTCTAGTTTAGAATTCTGGCTATACTTTAGGGTACTTCCGCAAGAGGACTTATCTATAAATGTAATGGCAAGAGACATATTAGAGAATAACAATTCCCTTCTAAGAGAAACTATGTTAACTTAAAAAAACATTGAAACCTGTAAAGAATTTTTGTGAGTTTATTTGAGCCAAACTTTTGACATATGCCGGGAAGCAGAACCTCAACGAATTGAGATAATGCTCCGGAGAATGGCGGGTTACATCTGTATTTATACATTACAATCCAAGGAAAGGGACATAGGTGGGTTACTTGAAATCCATTGGTGATAGACTAGAGAGGCGGGAGAAAGCGAAGCAGGGAAACCCCTGGGATTGGATAAAAAGTAAAATAATAGACACATACTTAGGTGGGTGTAGAAACAATTAACATAACAATGAAGGAATTAGTTGTATTTGTCCTGGAGCGCAGGCACATTAGGTTGTGCCCCAAGGGGTCCAGAAAAAGGGAAGTTACAAGTTCACCAGACATTTCAAGGGTATGTTATTATAGACGCAAAAAGACAGATAGGCTCAGTTAAGGTAAAGGTTGACCTTGTCAGTGAAGATACCGGCCTAGGACGTAACTGCCCACCATAACGGCTTTTAGTTAAAGTTTCCATTCAGACCATCCTTTGTGGTTACTGTAGGCCTCTGAGTTTGCAAGACCGCCATGAAGGCCTTTCCCGAGCGTATTAGGTTAGCATGTGGCCCCTTTCATCCACACTAATATGAAGAAGAATGCAGTTGAAAGTCAAACTTTTGGCACAAATAAAATGTCTCCTGGAACCCAGGAGACCCCAGGGTTCACCAGTCATGTTTACATAGCAGAGCATTCCATAGAGACATATTTTCAATACATTGCAAATTTTAAAGATTTATGTTAAGATTATTATTATTTTTTAAAGATTGGGTCTTAAGAGAAGAATCCCTAAATGAGGTTGCTATCTTGCTCTTTAAAAAAAAAAGCATCTTGATAGTTTCAACTTTCTCTTTCATGAGTGTTCAGTAACTGTTTTCTCCCAGCTGCTGCATAAATGCATTTTTAGACATATTTTATGTCTACCTTTTAATCATGCTTCACTTTTTCAGTAAATCCCTTATCACAACACACTAACGGTGCTGTATAAGTGATTTCTCTCTCCCATCTGAAGCAGCTTGCTCGGGGGTCATTTTTCATTACATTTTGTAGCAGGTTGCAGTGCCCCAGAAAATGATTTTTAAGTTTATACCTCAGCTATTTTCTTGCTTATCTTCCATTGGATTTTTACAGTTCAACTTCCTTAAATGTTTCATTTCATTTTCTCACTCATACATATACATAACAGGTCTTACAGAATCTGCATAAATTTGCAATACGGACCAATTTAACAGTTTAGCTTATGAGTAATTTTTTTCTAAAAGTCATCATTAGCAAGTGAAATTATATAAACATTCATGAATAATTATTGGTCTAAATATCCAACTGCAAAGAGTGAGAGAGAGAGAGAACTAAAATCAAACAATTGCCATTAGGTCTCCCATTTCTTCTACCCCATTATAATCAGCTATTTCAAAATTAAGAATATATTACATTTGGACTTTCTTGAAATTTAAAATCTTGAGACAGTTATCAAGTACAATGTGTACTTCATTTTAAAATGAAATATATTTTTATTGATTTCAGAGAGAGAAACCAATGATGAGAGCTATTTGATCGGCTGCCTCCTGCACACCCCACACTGGGGATCAAGCCCGCAACCCACAACAGGGCATGTCAACAACTGAGTCACACCGGCTAGGCTGTACTTAGTTTTTAATGTTAAATAACATGTATTTAATTATTGATGGCCACGTTTTACCTAAAATACCCTATTCCTCTTTGTTTTCCCAGGCTCTGGAAGAGTGCCTGAAATATAATAGGTACTCCATGCATTTCTGCTAAATTGAATAATTGTTTTGAAAGCACATTGTATCATTTCATTATTGTTATTCATCCATTTTAGGTTAAGGAATTTGACACCAATTTTACATATGTGCAACAGTCAACATTCTATTTGGAGCCAAATACCAAATATGTATTTCAAGTGAGATGTCGAGAAACAGGTAAAAGCTACTGGCAGTCCTGGAGTTCACCCTTTTTTCATAAAACACCTGAAACAGGTGAGTGTACCTAAATATTTAATCTCTTAGGCTTTTCTTTTGACCTCTATCTCTCTTCTAATTATATACATTTTTTTCTTCTTCTTGATGTCTATCAAAGTTGACAAAAGGATTCTAGGGCAGGTGGTAATACTTTCATTGTCATTTTGCTTTGATTTTTGTGGAGGCTGACTACAATTTATGCAATGGTTCTCGAACATTCCTGGGCCTAAAAACCAATGCCCACCGCCTGGTGTGCTGTTCACCATCCCTCTTTCACAGGTCTCAGGTAGCGGGAGTGGGGGGGGCGGGGGGGATGCTCAAGCGTCAGCATTGCTTACAAACATCCTGGGTGATTGTGAGGCAGATGATAACCTCAGGCCTTGTTTTGAAAAAAGACATTACTCAGAGTTACATTCAATTCTTTAGGTCAGTCTGTTAAAATATATTCTTCAAAAACAGACACAAATCAAATCATATCAATAAGTACTGATTACCTACTATACGCAAAACAATCCAAAAGAGTTAAAGCACTTAACTATGAAATTATTTAATTCTATTCTTAATAAAATTTAGCTAAGCTGTTGTTTATATTTAGCTATTTCTCTGCTCTTAATATTACTAGTCTAATATTCTAGGAATTTACATGTCATTTAATAAAATCTTAGCCAAATAGATTTCAATTGTAAGCATACAATAAAATGACCCTATTGTAATTATCATAATATTTGATAATTGCCCTATTATCCTAAAGATGTCTCTCTAATATAGGTAGCTTATACACTAGATTTATTTTTTTCTTTTCAGAACAGAAAAACTTAATTATAATCACACTATTGTTAATATCATCTTTATTATAATATAGCATCTTGTAATTGTGTTTTATGTTTTCAAAGCAGTTTAACATTCATTATAAATATTGGTGACCGCCGAAACCGGTTTGGCTCAGTGGATAGAGCGTCAGCCTGCGGACTGAGAGGTCCCAGGTTTGATTCCGGTCAAGGGCATGTACCTGGATTGCGGGCACATCCCCGGTGGGGGATGTGCAAGAGACAGCTGATCGATGTTTCTAACTCTCTCTATCTCTCTCCCTTCCTCTCTGTGAAAAATCAATAAAATATATTTAAAAAAAAAAATATTGGTGACCAACCAGCACATAGAGAAAGCCAAGACCCAAAGACTGGTTTAAAAGTTCTTTTGGCGCCCCCTAAAGCCCAAATTTTAGAAACACATTTTAAAAAATCATACAAAATTTTTTGAATGACAGTTGACATACATTACTAAATTAGTTTCAGGTGTACACTTCAGTGATTAGACATTACATAACTTACTGAGTGACCATCTGATAAATCTCACACCCATCTGACACCATACATAGTTACTAGAATTTTATTGACTATATTCCCTATGCTGTACTTTATATCCCCATGATTATTCTGTAACAACCAATTTGTACTTTTTAATACCTTCACCTTTTTTCCTATCCCCTCGACACTCCCTCCCATCTGACAACTGTCAAAATGTTCTCTGTATCTAGGAATCTGTTTCTGTTCTGCTTGTTCATTTATTTTGGTCTTTTAGGTTCAATTGCTGGTAGATATGTATTTATTGAAATTTTATTGTTCATAATTTTGATCTTTTTTTCCTTCTTCTTAAAGAGACCCTTTAACATTTCATACACTGGTTTGGTGGTGATGAACACCTTTAACTTTTTCTTATCTGGGAATCTCTTTATCTGCCCCTCATTCTAAATGATACCTTTACTGAATAGAGTAATCTCTGTTGTAAGGTCCTTGTTCTTTATCACTTTGAATATTTCTTGCCACTCTCTTCTGGCCTGCAAAGTTTGTTGAGAAATCAGATGGCAGTCTTTATGGGAGCTCCTTTGTAGGTAACTAACTGCTTTTCTCCTACTGCTTTTAAGATTCTCTCTTTGTCTTTAATATTTTGCATTTTAACTATGATGTGCCTTAGTATGGGCCTTTATGGGTCATCTTATTTGGGACTCTCTACACTTGCTGGACTTGTATTTCCTTCACCAAGTTAGGAAAGTTTTCTGTTATTATTTTTTCAAATAGGTTTTCAATTTCTTGCTCTCTCTGTTTTCCTTCCAGTACCCCATGATGTGAATGTTGGTACGCTTGAAGTTGTCCAGAAGCTCTTGACACTATCTTCATTTTTTTGGATTCTTTTCTGTTTTCGCTGTTCTGATTGGGTGTTTTTTTGCTTCCTTATATTCCAAGTCACTGACTTGATTCTCAGCTTCCTCTACTCTACCACTGATTCTCTATAAATAATTCTTCATTTCAGTTAATGTATCCTTCATTTATGAAGTTCTCACTAAATTCATTGAGTATCCTTATAACCAGTGTTTTGAATTCTGCATCTAGACCAGGGGTGGGCAAACTTTTTGACTCGAGGGCCACAATGGGTTCTTAAACTGGACTGGAGGGCCGGAACAAAAGCATGGATGGAGTGTTTGTGTGAACTAATATAAATTCAAAGTAAACATCATTACATAAAAGGGTACGGTCTTTATTTTTTTTTTTTTTTTAGTTTTATTCATTTCAAAGGGGCCGGATCTGGCCCGCAGGCCGTAGTTTGCCCACGGCTGATCTAGACTATGGCTTGTCTCCATTTGGTTTATTTCTTTTTCTGGAGGTTTGTTCTGTTCTTTCATTTGGAACATGTTTCTTTGTTTCCTCATTTTGGCTGCTTCCCTGTTTGTTTCTATGTGTAGGTAGAGCTGCTACCTCTCCCTGTCTTGGAAGAGTGGCCTAATGTAATCATTGTTCTGTAGGGTTCAGTGGCACAGCCTCCCCTATCACCCAAGCTGGCATTTGAGATGTGCCCTACTCCCTGTGTGAGTTGTGTATACCCTCCTATTGTAGTTGAGCTTTGATTGCTTTTGGCATGTCAATGGGAAAAATTTACCCCCAGGCCAATCAGCTGTAAGGAATGGCTTCAACCGCTGACTCTTGTGGAGGATCAGCTGTGCAGGGACCACCCACAGAGCATTTTCAGTGGGGGTCTGGTGCCCCTTGCATGTGTCACTTGTAGAGGTGGTTGGGTGGTGTTTCATGTGGTCTCGAGCTGTCTATTGGGTGTGGTGGCTCTGAAGACGCCCAGGAGGTGCAGGCCAAGGTCATCCACCACCTGAGTTCTGTCCGGGGCACTGGCACGGGTTACAAAGTGATTTGCAGATATCTACTACTTGTGCTGAGTTTGGAGGTGCCCAGGGCAGTTCAGACTGTGGAGCAAAGACAGCTGCTACTAGCGCTGCATCTGGAGCCACACAGGGAGAGTACAGGGCATGCAGAGGCCAGATGCTGCTTGTTTGAGAGATTTTGGAAAAACCTCGAGTATGAGCCAAGCAAGACAGGGAATTCATATGGAAAAAGTGGAAACAGTGTGGGTGGACCTGCAAGTTGGGTGGGGTGGGATCTCAAGGCATCACCAGGGCAGGGAAAACAGTGGGAGCCAAGTTGATGGAGTCTCAGATATGAAGCCCACCTGCTGGTTCAGTTGGGGAGAGGCTTATCAAAGGAACAATGGCCTCTGCCAACTGTCTGAGAGAAAGCTCCCCTCTCACCTCCAGCTCCCACCTTGATGTCAGGCAATTAAGTCCCTCCCCAAATGTCTTTGGTGCCTTTGAAGCTGCTGCCCTGGTGTTGGAACTCAGAGGGAATGAGTCTGAGTAAGTCTGTGTGCAAACCCTTTAAGAGGAACTGCCTAGGACTCCAGGAGTTACCATCTCCCTCAGCCTCAATTTCCACTAGTTTTTACAGCCAGAAGTTGTGGGAACTTCTCTTCCAGGCATTGGAATTCTGGTGTGGGGCTGGGACCCCTTGCTCCTTAGGGGACACCCCTACAGCTGAGATATCCCTTCCAATTTTTATCCGACACATGTGAGTGCAGGACCAGCCCATTCTGCATAGCCACCCCTCCTACCAGTCTTGGTGTAGCTTCTTCTTTAATTTCCTAGTTGTAGGACTTCCATTAAGCCAGATTTCAGACAGTTCTGAATGATGGTTGTTCTGTAGTTTAGTTGTAATTTTGATGTAGAAACACTTTATTAAGGGAATCATTTGCAATACCAAGTCTCTTTTTTAAAAGTTAGTTTTTAATTGAAAATATTCTGCCTTAAGTTGATATTGTTAAAAATTCTTAGGACTTTAGATGCCATTTATAATAGTCATAATTTAATTGGTAACCAAATTATTTTTAAATGAAATGTTAAATTGTCTAACGAGATTATTCAAATTGATAACTAACATATACTTAGCACTTACAAAGTACTACTATGCATAATCTTATTTGATTTTTACATCAGCCATATTTGGCAATGTAATTGGCACCGTTTTACAAGAGAAAAAGTGAGGTATGATTTTCTAAATCACACATTGCTAGTGAGTAATAACGCCTAAACTAGAGCACACATTTTCTTACCAATAGCCCTCAGCAATCTCATCAATTTCTTTAACCAAATTACATCAAAGTGGAGGAGCAGTTTACTAAAATATTCTACAAGTTAAGTACAGGACCACGGGTTTGCTTCTTTAAAAGTAAAGGTTTTAAACCTTACATCGAAAGAATAGGAACATCACAGCTACCTTGCAACAAGTCTATATTTAAAATATAGTATTGGTTTCTAATTGGGGGAGGAAGGAGGATCCCTTGAGGCAAAAGTACGTTAAAATTAAATATCCGTGAAAACTTGCATCTATAAAAATTTAACATGTTAATTAAGAGGAAACATAAACTTCTTTTGGTACAAATTCCTGTCTAAAACACATTAAATGCGAAACAGTGAAAGTGTGTTAGGGAAAGTGATAATATTAAATCTTTTTGAAAATGTATCTCTTTTTTTCTATTTGTAAAAGCAAGGCAAGTCTATTGTACTATATAACCTAAAAATCACTGCTGTTTACATTTTAGTGGATTTAACATTCTTTTCTTTGCACATATTTTTAAATGATAAAAACTATAGTGTGTATACTGTTCAAATACAGTTCTTATTT